AGCATTCCATTCCGACCCATTGTTCGTAATCACAATTGAGAGGACTCTGAATAAAAACCGTAAGAGCCAAAGAAAGTAAGTAAATGACTGTCAAGATCACATGAAACCTCCGTGGGTAGATAGTAGAGCTGTACGTACTAATAGTGGCTTTTGTGTCAGGTTTGCAAACTTCCAAAGGCTACCTGTGTTTAAAAATGGAATAGCGAACAGGCCAGGGTCTGCCTCCGATTCAGCTAAACAAATCTTAAACTCTAAGAGGCTGAATTCAACTGATCCGTATTGTGGGATTTTCCATGCTGCATCCTGCCACTCTCAAGCAGGATATAAATAAGCTTAATAAAAAAAAGAAACAATGCATTGAAGAATTTCATTCTGTAAAGGTACAGCTATTGTAACTGTCGCAGATTCAGTGCAGAGATCAGACCCCCCATGCAGTTATTTTTCACAAGTAAACCCCAATAATCTGACCTCGGAAGCAATGCAAGCAAGGGAGTGTGTTCAGACAGCGATGTAGCTTGTTATTTGGACCGCTTATGGCATGGTCTGGTTCGATCCGTTTTCCGGTGACCAGGTAACATACAGGAGATGGTGAACCAGCCCAAAGTGGGTCCGTGTGTCATCTAGACTTTTTTTTTTGTCCAGCAACAGGACTACTCTTTTTTTAAGCTGGACTGGAGCAACCAGGACTGAACCGTGTGTGCCAAAAAGGGTCACACTTTAGAGGCGATCGCATCCAGCGAAGTAACTCTTTCCAAGTGCCATCCAATGGGATCCTCTATTGCCATCACAGTTCTAAGCACGGGCGTCCTGGGAGTAAACACTGCCAAATACAATGAGACTTACTTCTGGAAAAACAGTTACAGGACATCTGGATTGCGTTGCTCCTCCACTGGTGCAAGGTCACAAGATACAATGATAAGTCATAGTTGGCGGTTTATAACCTGCTAGAAAAAGAAGTTATTAGGGAGAAGAGATTCAAACTGCCTTCCAAGGGCCATGTGGAATTTAAGGTGGACAGGTTGAACAAGCGAAGAAATAGGAGAGTTAACAGCCCTGTCCTGTAACCCAGTGGTCCCCAACCTTGTGTCTCCAGATGTTCTTGGACTTCAACTCCCAGAAATCCTGGCCAGCAGAGGTGGTGGTGAAGGATTCTGGGAGCTGTAGTCCAAGAACAGCTGGAGGCCCAAGGTTGGGGACCATTGCTGTAACCCACCAAGTCTTTACTCAGTAAAGTAGTAAATAGGCAATGTGATGATTCTTCTGCTTTCCTTGCTCAGAAACAATCTCTAGTGCAATATCTAGAGCTTGGAAATGATTCTGTTTTGCTTGTTTTTGTTTCCTTTTCTTTTTGGACTGCAACAACCAAATAGCTACCCTGGCTGGAGAATGTTGGGAACTATAGTCAAGGTGGCATCCTAGAATCATGAGGTTGGAAGGGTCGTATAAGGCCATCAAGTCAGACTCTCTGGTCAAGGGAGGAATACAAGTCAAAGGATATCTGCCAAGTGGTTGCCTAAATGTCACTTCAATGAGTCCAGCGCTGGAGCACGCACCTCCTCTTGAGCTAATTGGTTCCTTTGTCGTACTGCTCTAACAGTTAGGAAGTTTTTCTTGACATTCAATCGAAATCTGGCTTCCTGTCCCTTGAGCCCATGGTTGCCTGTCCTGTACAGTGGTGCCTCACTAGACAGTTACCCCGCATGACAGTTTTTTCGCTAGACATCGACTTTTTGCGATCGCTATAGCGATTCGCAAAACAGTGATTTCTATGGGGGAATTTCGTTGGACAATGTTTGGTCCCTGCTTCGCAAACTGATTTTCGCTAAACGATGATTTTGACAGCTTCCTCTGCGCTCGCAAAACAGATGTTTTGGGAACCTAAGCTTCACAAGACAGCGATTGAAACAGCTGATCGGTGGTTCACAAAGCGTGTTTGCTATGGCCGATCTTCGATAGACAACGATGATTCTTCCCCATTGGAACACATTAAACAGGTTTCAATGCATTCCAATGGGGAAATGCTTTTTGTTAGACAATGATTTCGCTAAACAGCTATTTCAGTGGAATGGATTATCGTCTAGCAAGGCACCACTGTACTTTGGAATGACTGAGAATAGAGCTTGCTCTGCCTCTGGACGGCACAGTCTTCCAAGTATTTGAAAAGTGCTATCACATCTCCCCTCCGTCTTCTTTTCTAACAAGTCTTGCACGCTCAAGCTGTAGCCTTGAGGGTGCAAGACTGGAGCAAGGCTGTTTAAGGACAGGACATCTGGAAGTCACTCATTCATAGGACTGCCATAAGTCAGGAGCAACTTGACGTTCTAGAACAGCAACATAGTACCCAATGAGGAACCTTTCCAAGCACTGCCAACACCATTAGGTGTCCATCATATTAAATCAAGAGTGGGCAAAGTGTGATTCTCAGCTCCCCTGCTGAGGAGCTGAGAATCACACCGAGGTGTAGCCTCTGCTCTACCGTACTCCCCTCCCTTGGGCTGGTATATAAACAGCACACTTTTTCTGGACATCTCAAGCAACTGTATTTCAGCTTCTAGAACCAAAGGCTCCTTTTAATTTAGAAAAACCACCACCCCTTTTGGAAACTGGAAACGAAATGCAGCAACATCCAGTTCTGTTCTTCTTCTTTCTCTGTCCAACTAGCGGTCCACGCAACCCCTGAAGGATGCTGGAAGCAGGATGGTGGCTCTTAGAGGTGGCCAATTTTTCTCCACAACAGCATTAAATGCCTTTATAGGGTGGGTGCCTCAGGAAGAGTCTCACAACTCTGCGAGGCACTGAGAGGGAGGCACAAGAACCCTCGTCGGGCAGGGGTAGGTAGGCAGGCTGTCTCTTTAAGGTCATCGCTCAAGGGCAAAAGCACTTGTTTGGCATGCATTAAGTTGAAATCTCGAGTTCAGTTCCCCAGTATCTCCAGTTCAATGGTCAAGCAGCCAGGGATAGAAAGGATCTGGGCTGGCAACTCAGGAGTGCCTCTGTCGGTCAAGAGAAGCTACAGGAACCAGTAGTGGGTCTTTGCAGAAGATGGCTCCTTTCGGACGGCTCACCATGCGGTCACCACTTCATGCAAGAAGGCAGGAGGAACTGGAAGCATCTTTAATTTCGGCTGGAGGATTGCTTCGGAGTGGCCCAATACTATAGTTGAAAGGGACCCCAACTGTATGAAAAGTTCATTAATATTAAAGCAAGATGCTCACTTCTATCATCAAGTCCAGGCCCTTTCGAGGAGGCTCAGTAGGGGAATTGAACTCCCTCACTTCTGTCATCAAGTCCAGGCCCTTTCGAGGTCAGTAGGGGAATTGAACTCACAAACTCCAACTCTACAGCCAGAGACCTAAACCACAAGAGCTATCCACTGTGATGGCTCTTTTGCATTTCCTTCCGTCTCTGTGCTAATATAACTCTCCAGGGAGCTGACATGGCTGTTACAATCATGCAGTGATTGTGATTTTCATGTGCTGTTCTAAAAAAAATCCCAGCTGTTCCTGACTCAGTGGCTTCTGCTGGGGTGAGATTGCAATTCCCATCATCCACAGCCACAATGGCTATTGGAAGGCTACAGAAGTGACAGCCCAACGCATCTGGAGGGCGATTTCACGCCTCCATGGAGAGTCAAACTTCCAAGCCCACCTGACATGCAGCGAATGTGGGAGCCACAGAGCCATGTGTCCACTTGCACATGATAAAGATGCAGTGAGTTCCACAGGCCATTGACTCAAAACTGTTTTCTCAGACTTTTCCTCAAATGTTTGGACTGCCTTTGCTATTATTATTCAGGCACAAACGGGGAGCTTTTAGGATGATCACCGGATCACTTTTGAACCAGGGGAAGGGCCATGCTGGTGGCCTCAAGGTTCAATTCCCACACCCTTCCACCAGACCCCACCACAAACCATATATCCTGCCATTGGCCTTTTGCATTTTAACAGCATTTTCTACTTGTTTTAATTGCTTTTTGTTAACATCTGCACCAACACATGGGGCATTTTTTTTTACTGAGGTCTGCTGAAACCCATCCATTTGGGGGTTCTGTTCTTAGACCCAGCCTGAGCATTAGAGCAACGTTGGATTCAGTCACAGCAGGGGAATACTTTAACATTTGCCATGCTTTCTAGTTTTGCCACTTTTCAATTTTGAGAGTTGAGATTCGATTTTGCTTCGGACGCTGAGCTTTTTAGCTTGCTAGCCACTGGAATGAGAACATGAAATGGAATACTGGATGAGCTGGATTCTGAATACAATACGTCAGGGCTCTTTTTTTTAATGTTGATAACAACGACTCTCCTAAGGATCAGACAATCACATTCTGTCAACTACTAAGTACAACTGCCCACCAGCTATCCCATACTGCCAAACATCAAAGCACGAATTCAAACATCATAGGATCCCAGATATCAAATCTTCCTTGAATATTCAGTCAGATGCTAGCATTCAGGACATAACCCTGGAGAAGATCCAATGTTGAAATCTGCAAAGCAGAATCAACAAAAGATTTTTTTTGGGGGGGGAGAGAAAATTGATTTCAGTTCAAGTAAACATAGGTAAAGGTAAAGGTTCCCCTTGACGGTTTTTGTCCAGTCGTGTTCGACTCTAGGGGGCGGTGCTCATCCCCGTTTCCAAGCCGTAGAGCCAGCGTTTTGTCCGAAGACAATTTTCCGTGGTCACATGGCCAGTGCGACTTAAGACACGGAACGCTGTTACCTTCCCACCGAGGTGGTCCCTATTTATCTACTTGCATTTTTACATGCTTTCAAACCGCTAGGTTGGTGGGAGCTGGGATAAGCAACGGGCGCTCAATCTGTCGCGTGGATTCGATCTTACGACTGCTTGGTCTTCTGACTGTGCAGCACAGAGGCTTCTGCGGTTTAGCCTGCAGGAAGCTATGGCCTTTAGTTTACAAGACCTGAGCAGGACTGTTAATGACAGATCCTCTTTTATGTCATCTTTTTCACAGGGTCTCCATTAAATCAGAAATGGCCTGTCAGCCCATAACAACACCACATATTTATTTCCCCAAACTATGCCAGCCCATAAGGATAGTTTGCCTTCATTTTTAGCCCCACAAGGAGAACTCTAAAGGGAAGTAGGAAGAAAAAAAATCTGCAGTTGATAGGGACTTCACTGAGAACCAAACACACCACCAAGTATTTGGCCTGCCCCCCCAACCCCCCAAAAAGGTTAAAGGTAAGTCAAGGTGAGCCTGGGGCCAGAATTCTACCAAACTGGTGGAGTCTGGTACAAAGGGGAGACACATTCTAGAAAAGGAAGGATGATACTCCTGGGATGTATGACTTGGATTCAGCGATGATGACCGACCAAAAGCATGCAGGGTGTTGTGAATCTCAGTATTGCTCTGTTGGATTTCCCAGATCATCTCTCCAGCAGCTAACCCATAACAGGAAGAACTTCTGGCACCTTCTGGCACACAGTTGAAATTAAGTTGGCTTCTTGTCCTTGTCCTTGTCGAGCCGGCCTTGTGGAACCCTAGCAGGAAGGGTCACCTTAGTGGGACAGAGTTTCTCTTCCAGAAGGCGCTTTGTCTGTTCTCTTCTTTCTGTTATGGCTTAGCCGCCTTGGTGGGCTCCGAAGACTGCCGGACGTCGGTCCATTCCTGCATGGTGCTCTGTAAAGCCTGGGTCTTCTCTTTGTCAACTTGGACGTAATCGACTTTCTCATCCGAGGCGACGGACGAGGTGGAGGGCTGCCCGTGGAGAAGAAAGCAATGACTCGGTTGAACATCCGTGTCAAAACACCACATTTGGAGACTTGCTATAAGGCATGGGATTTTTTGGAATTCAAGAAATAACAGCTCCCGGAGGCCTGCAGGAACTCCTCTGGCTAGACAGTGGGTGGCGTTGGCCAAAGACGTCCAGACCTTTTCAGGTTTCTGTAATCACTTTCCGCTGAGAAATAATGGCTTCTCTTGCCCATGAGGAAGATGGAGAAAGTGGCCATGTTTTATTGGAACTGAAAAGCATTATGGGTCTCTGCCTATTATGCTCCATACAGGGTGCCTCGCATGAAACTCTCAAATGCCTTGAAGTTCCCAGAGATGTTAGCTCTGCATAGCCAAGTCCTCCATCTTCATCATGTTTGATAGAAGCCACCATTTAATGGATTTCAGATATCTGAAAGGCCTTTTTTTTTTTTTTTTAAATTCCCCCCCCCCCCGAGTTCTGGCTGTGGGAATTTCTGCAAATTCTGGGAGCTGTAGTTCAAAAATATAAAATCCCATGTCTACTGACTGTTGAACTGTGGACTTGGGGAAGAAAACAACCTATGAGGGTCACATCCAATTTATGAAACCCTCACCCAAGCCCACCCTGTTGGCAGCAGTTCCCCAGGTTTTCAAAACAGGAATATTCTGAAATTTTGATTCCTTTCCCCCTCCTTTTGCTAAGCCCCGCGGGGCTTAGCACAAAGGGAGAAAACAGGGATCAAAGTAAAGGACCCTGCAGAACTTTGATCCCTTTCCCCCTACACTTGCTAAGCCCCACTTAGATTTCTTAATTTTGGGTTAGAAAAGTGGGGAGGGGGGAGTCTTATACATGGGGTATCTTATATACAGAAAATATGGGTATTTCCACAATGCAGTTACTAGAAGTGGTCACTAGATGGAACCAGAGACAATGTTAGATAATGGGTTTGCTGTTATCTGAGTTTTTTGGCATCCACAAGGAGTGGGAGGGCTTGGAACCGATTCCCTATGGATACTGGGGTCCTACTGTAATAACAATAATAATCTTAGAATTGCAGAGCTAAAAAGAACCCCATGGATCATTATGGTCAGCCCCTGTTTTAGGAGGCACAGTAGGGAATTGAACTCCCAACCTCTGGGTCCACAGCTAGATACCCAAACCACTGAGCTATCCAGCAATTGACACAAAGGTGAGGGGCCAGGAAGACCACATTTCACAACAGAGTTGCTTGTGATAGTTTTAGAAGTGGGCTGCAATACCTTCCGGTGTGGACCAGGTGAGTTCGGCTGGAAGTCCAGGGCCAGGTAGTCGACATTTCCTGAGCTTTTTTTGGTGGCTGGGCTGTTTGTGCCACTTGCAATGGGAGAGGCAGAGACTGGGTTTTGCTAAAGGCCAAATGAAACGACAAGAAATACGGATTAATAAAAGCAAAAAGAAACCACACGTTCCGACACGCGCAATTGTGAGCATCGCTCTGCTGGACTCAAAGTGGAGACATCTTTAAGAATTGCTAAGGCACATAGAATTGATCTCAGATACTTGGTTTGGGACTTCCACACTCTGCCCCCATTTGCTGTTGCCCCCCTGGTGCCACATTTCTTCAGATGTAAATTGGAAATAACATTATGACCAGGGATGTCGGCAAGACTTTGGGTTCAAGTCCCAAGTCCCAGTCTTTGGTACCATGTCCTGAATCCCAAGTCCCATGTCCAAGTCCCTATTAAAAATAAGTCCCCCCCTCCAAAAGGAGTGAGTGAGCGGGTTCTGCATTGAGAGTTGAGTCCAATGTATTCTCGAAGGCTTTCATGGCCGGGATCTGATGGTTGTTGTGGGTTTTTCAGGCTCTTTGGCCAACCTGCAAAAGGTCAACAAACTCTACCCGGCCACAAGGACTGGTGATCACTGCACACAAAAGACTGTGGGGTCAGCTTTTGTCCTTTTCAAGAGATGGGTGATTGTGGTGATCAGCATGGTTTTTTTGTTGTGGGTGCATTGTTGTGATAAGGGGGAGAGATTATCTGTCTCTGTGATTGATGGGTGTAATTAGCTGGTCTTTTGTGTGCAGTGATCACCAGTCCTTGTGGCCGGGTAGAGTTTGTTGACTTTTTGCAGGCTGGCCAAAGAGCCTGAAAAACCCACAACAACCACCAGTTGAGTCCAAGGTAGATATGGGCATGAACTGATTTGTCCTGGTTCATCCCCGTTCATAAATGGAGCAAAACAGGTGCTGCTGCTCCCCTGCCCTGCATCCCTTTGGCTCAAACAGACACTCATCGGGCCCAGCTTGCTGGGTTTTCTCCCTCCTCCTTGGCTGATCTCCCAGGCATGAGTCCAGACTTCTCTGCCATGCCCTTTTGTCTGAGTGGCAGATCAGCCAAGGGGGCGGGGCAGAGAAGCCTGAGCTCTTGCCCGTGACTGGGAGATCAGCTGAAGATCATGGAGACTAGGGCTGGTGAGTGGCTGATTGAGCCAGAGGAGGTGTGGGAGGGGAGCTGGGATATACCAGTTCATACCCATCTCTAGTTTAAGTCACTGGGGGGGAAAAAAACGATAAACTCCCAGTCGCGTCACTGGTGCGACTGAAGTCCGATTTGATAACCAGCGCCCTGAGGCAAGTCCCCATTCCTGATCGTGACCTTCCTTGAATAGTCTAGGTGGCTTGTAGGGCAACTAAAAAATCTCCAAACTACAGCAGAACTTAAAGGTTTTCATCATTTTATCAAAATATATGTAGGGGTGTTTCTCCAGCTTTTTAGGATTCTGCATATTTTAATTCCTCCCAGAATTTTTTGGGGGGGCTTTTCCCTTCCAGAAATAGGTGGCAAAACACCCCTATATCCCATCCTCTCGCCATGACTCGCATATTTTAACTGCTCTGAGAATTTTTTGGGGGGGCTTTTCCCTGCCAGAAAAAGGTGGCAAAACACCCCTATATCCATCCTCTTGCCATGACTTCTAAATTTCCAGAAACTTTACACGTCAGGAAGAGGGCTTCCGCAGGGACTGACCATGGCCACGTAATTTTCTTCGCTGTCTCCTGAGTCAGTGCTGGTGATGCTCTGGGTCGAGATGGGCCGACAGTAGGGAGAAAAGTTGGAGTTGAACGTCTGGCTGCAACGAGAGTTGACAAGGAAGCAGAGTTAGCCCCCAGATCCTTTCAGGGTTACAGAGAAGTCGCAGGGCCGGGCCCAGCCATTAGACGGAGTAAGGCAGCTGCCTCCGGAAGTGGTTAGGATGAGCACTAGCCATCAGATGCTGGAGGAGACAGTGCCACATGGCCCGGCTGCCCTGGCCACAACATTCTTAAGGGTGTAAAATTGCGAAATTTCAGGGCTGCCATTGAGGAGCCTGGTCACTTGACAAGGGGGTGGGACCAGCAGCACCCACACCATGGCTGTATTTATGCCTGGCTGATGCATCACCCAGTGCACCACATTTCTGTCTTATCTGTGGTGGAGCATGCCAGAGTCATTCGTGTCTGGAGCCCTCCTCAATACATGGAGCTGCCCTCCTTAGGCTGACCCTTTGCTCTACCCTAACCCCACCCCACGTGTGCATGGCCCTGTCTGCAGGCACCTTGCAGCTGCCTTCAAGCATCTGTTTCCCGAGGGCGACCCTGCTCCCTGAAGGCGCGGTGGGTCAGCTGAACCCACTACTGCCTAGCCAGTTGGATGTCAGGACTGGGGCCTTGCTGGAAGCAACTTTAGTGCAGGCAGAATCGGCCCCATCTCTCTGGGAAAACTGCTGTACGGTTTGCAAGACTGGGCTGGGCTATATAAGAACAGGCCTTTCCCACAGACCTTTGCCATGAAGGTCTCTGGCTGTGCTGTTGTTCCTGCCTTGCCTGGTGGTTCCTGC